TTTTTTTTTTTTTTTTGTTTGGGAAAAAACGAGAACTCCATTATAGACCATTCTTGAGGCCGGGAATCCTCACAAACAACCCGGAATGACTCAGACCAATCTGCTGGGAGGACCCAGCCAGAACCCCGTGAGCATTTAGCTCAACAACTCAGAAATAAACAGAGCAAAATCAGCCATCCTCTACACAGGCACAACTTTTATGATCTTTTTACCGTACTTGCAAAATAAACATGCCAAAACCCTGCAACCGCAAACATACAAGACCCCTGCGGGCATTTGCCCGACAACTCAGTTAGCTTCCCCAAACCTCAAAATCAAGTATCCCTAATGAATTATCTAAGTGCTACCTACCATCTAGGTCCTAAGTACTCTCTTATCTCTCAGATCCCTTAACCGCCTCCCCGGCAGTTGGAACCTAACATGGTTCCACTACTTCCTAGACACTCTCATACCCCCGTCTCTTCTGCCTCCTACTGCGAATTGAACCGAGTGTCCTGGTTTTCCTAGCTCATTAGCCACTCCGCAAACTGCAACCCACCCTCCCCTCGCACTGTCACTAACTTCCCACCCTGGGCCCATGTTTCCTGGAACCAACTGGACCTGATTGCCGTTCCAATACCTCGTTTGGCCTTCCTTCTCCAATCTGCCAAGATGATTCTTCTGATCAACGCTTTAAATGTGGCTCTGATCTCTGGGTCTGGCATAATTCGGCCTTCGAACTGAGATCTGTTCCTTTCCTTCCAGATCACCCAGAAGCCAACCACTCGAATAACCTGAGCCACATACCCCCATCCCTCGACAAGTGGAGGTTCTCTGGGACCCCTCCTAGCAGGACCCACTCTCTGTCCCACCTAAACCCTAAACCCTAAACCCTAAACCCTAAACCAACGTCTCTCCCGTCCACTCCTTCCATTGTCTAGCCCACCACTCCCATATGCGTCTCAAGGCCGGACAGTCCCACCAGATATGCATGGTCGACTCAAAGGCCCATAGACATCTTTTACACTGCGTTTCAATCTTCAACCCCCGGCTCAACAGAGACACCGCCGAGGGAGTCGCCAAAAGGGAGGTCACCCAGAGCAATGCTGCAGCCTTCGGATACGGAGCCTCCGCAAGCTGTTCCCAACATCTTTGCAGGGCTTTGCTGATGCCTTCAATATCCTCAGAGTAGACCCGTCTCCATCTTTCTGTCGCCGCCATCAGAGGGGACCGATCCGGGGTCTGTACTTCATACGCCAGCTGGAGCGAAAAGCCGTCTAGTAGCACCATTTCTCCCTTAGCTCCTCTCCCTCTCCAACCCCATTGATTGGGATCTACTCTGAGGCTTGAGATTGGCGTCCCTTGGTTCCACAGCCTCACCTTCCAGTTACCCTCCTCATCCACCACTTCCTTCACCCTTATTTCCTTCATTGCTCCCCGTGGGAACTTAATGAACTCCTCACCTTCGCAGACTACAAGCTTCTCTTCCATGCCTTCCTGCTTCCATTGTTGGAATCTGGGCTCTCCATCTGGCGGCATTGTCACCTGCTTCAGAAACAACGGCTCTGTGTCTCGGGTCTGCATAGAGTACCAGGTTCCAGGCGGGTTGACCTGCCACGGGGACAGGATCAATCGCCACTCCTCTGGAAGGGCATCTAACACCTGCAGCCTCCGGTCCCTGATGAACCTAGACGGTTTCAGTCTCTCCTCCATCTCCACGTCCGAGTACCAGTTGCCTGTTGGTTCATTCCACATGTCCCTCAATCTGACCACTCCCCGTTCCACCCAGGTTCTCCCAAAACTCCCTGGTGAGGAATCCGCCATAAGCATCTTACCCCCGCCATCTCTGATACTAGGATTTTCAAATATAATTTGTGAAAGGACCTCCTCCTTGGTCTTGGGGTTACACAGCATGTCCGGTTTCACTGTCTGCCAGGCATGAAGAATGGCCGACCAAAACTCCGACTTCACTCTTCGTCTCAGGAACGAATCTATCCACACGCAAGCCCAGACATCCGAGGGGCGAGCCAAGTTCCATTCCCTGCTCATTATGCGTTCCCCTAACAACATCCAGTGCTTATCCTTATCAGTGCAGATCGCTCGAACTACCCATTTCGCCAGCATAGCGGTGTTTCTTCTGCCAGGGTCAATCATCCCCAGCCCCCCTTCCTTCCTCGGGGCACAGATCAACTCCCAGGCCACTTTCGATATTACCGCCTCCCCTTCCTCCGCAGCGGGTCTCCAGATGAATCTGGCAGCTTTCCTTTTAACCACTGCCTGGGTCTTCTTCCCCAGTGGTCTAACGTTACCTACATACGTGAGGAGAGCAAACAACGCGAAATTTACCACCAGAGCCAGACCAAACAGTGAAAGATGTGGTGCTCTACCCCAAGTCGACAGTCTCTGCATTATCCTGGACTGCAGAATTTCTTCTTGCTTCATAGCACAAGAGGTGAGCGCCAATTGCACCCCAAGGAACCTCTCCGATTCCGTATCACGCACCCTTCTCATTCCCCATTCTACTGCCGGTGCGAACTGTTCCGGAAGAAAGAATACCGACTTCGACTAGTTAATGGCCGCTTCAGAAAGGATTTCGTACTGCCTCAGTCATTCCCTTAGAGTTGTCATAGATTCAACGGTGTTCACTGATATTGCAAAAAGATTGTCTGCCAAGGCTTTCACCTTGCAGACCTTCCGTCCCAACTCTAAGCCAACTACTTGACACTGCTTCCGGATATTATTCAGCGGTACTTCCAAATGAATCACAAATAACAACGGTGCTAACGGGCAACCTTGCCGAAGGGAGCGAGACAGTTTGAAGGGCTTAGAGATGTGGCCATTGACCATGACGCATGCAGTGGACAGAGAGTACAAAGCTACAACCCAGTTGCAAAAAATCTCCCCGAACCCCATCCACTTAAGCGTAGACAGCACGTAAGCCCAGTTGACCCGATCGTACGCTTTCTCCATGTCTAGGAGAAGAACTGCAACCTCCAAATCCTCCCTGCTTACCACTTCTAGAACCTCCACTGTTGTAACAATGTTCTCGTAGATAGATCGCCCTTTGACAAAGGCCGCCTGATCCTCCATCACCAGGGCAGGGAGATATCTACCCAACCTTCTTGCCAACACCTTGGCGAGTATCTTATATGATACGTTTAACAACGAGATCGGCCTCCAGTTTCTGATCTCGTTGGTGTCCCCTTTTTTAAACAGTAGCGAGATAATCCCTCTACAAGCACTTGCTGGGAGCTGGCCGCCCATCTGAATCTCGTTATACACTTCGACCAAGTCATTTCCCAAAGTGCGCAAATGATGCATGTAGAATTCCACTGGTAGTCCATCGTTACCAGGTGTTTTACCACTCGCCATCGCCTTCAGTGCTTCCTCCGCTTCTACCATCGTGATCGGGCGGTCAAGGTCCAGACGTGCCTGCGTCGTCAATTTAACTTCCGTGTTTCTCCAGTGGACTGAGTTAGCAGTCAGATCTGTATCCGGACCCTCCTCCGGCCTCCTTGAAGTTAGGATGTCCCTGTAATAAAGGACTGCGTAACTACACAGTTCCATAGGCTTTGTGGCTGAAGGTTCCTCCCCTTCAAACGGGTGCTTGAGCTCTCTCATCGCCGGAGCCAGACGGGCTGGGACCAATTTCTGAAAGGTCTCATGCAACATCCGGTCGTAGATTTCGATACCTCTCACCTTCAATCTCTCTGACCACTGCTCAGCCCGTTCCTGTTGCAGGGCCTCCCACTCTACCAATCAACGTGCTCTCTCTTTCCCCCACGTAGCTTCCGAGATGGGGTGATCTTTCATCCTTTCTTCTGCATCTTGGACTCTCTTCCAACACTTCCTGTCTTCCTTATTTCTCTGTAGCACCAGGATCCTAGAAAATACATTCAACAGGTTGGAGAGGATCCTGGATCCTCTTTCCCACCATTCTGCCACCGATGCGAATTTTTCCTTCTATTTTCCCCATCGCATCCAGAACTCCCTGGTCCACAGAGTTAACCCTTCTGATTTCAAGTTGAACGTGTTCAACTTGAAATACCCCCTTCCCCTCGAACCTTCCGGGTCCAAGTTGAACACCCCAATCACCGGCTTGTGATCTGAGGCCGGGTGATTAACAGCTGACACCTTGATCAGGCCTTCTTTAACTCTTCCTGACGATAATAAATAGTCCAGTCTCCTTCCTCTCCCTTTATGTGAGAACCACGTGTATCCCCGATCCACTGGATGGAGGATCCTAAATGAGTCGTGGAGATCAAGGTCCCCCATCAGATCGACTAGGGCTAACGTATCCCTGGGGCATCCCTTAGACTGCTGGTACATCGTTGAATCCAGAGATGTATTCAGATCAACAGCAATCAAGACATCATCTACATCAGGCAGCACCACTCGCAGTTCATCGAAAAAGGCCGTACGATCCTTCCTGACTACCGGCGCGTAGACTGAGACAACTGCCCGAGTAAGATCTTTACTCCTAAACACCACCCAGGCCCACCTACCCCAAAGATCTGCATAGAAGTCCGCAATATCCGAGGCGAGTTTCCTGTGAACTAAGATTCCCACTCCCCCCTTCGTACCATTCGCCGCTGACCAAACCTGTGGCCCGTCCCACCATCTACCGAGGGCCAAGATTTTCTCATCGTTCAGTTTAGTCTCTTGAAAACACGCCACCGTAATTCTCTTATCGTGCAACCACGACCTTATTCTCGTCCTCTTATTTCTACCCGTGGTGTCACCTAGTCGCTGAAGGTTCCATGAGACGATCTTATAATTACCCATTCCTTCGACCATCCCCCTGTCTAGATTGGATCTGGGACTGTGAATCCTCCCCTACTGGCCAGCTCTGCGTAAGGGCTGTTTTCACAAAATTGGAATCCAGCCTTTTGTCCTTTGGAAGACGAATCTTCAATTCCGCGATTGCATCTGCCGTAAACATCAGAGGGGAAATCACGAAGCGGGACAGTTCCTGCTTCTTACACTGTGAAAATTGACATCGGAACCAATCTCAGCCCCATTTGTTCCAACTCTAAGGTTTTCCTCTCTGTTAGACGCGCATCCACGATTGGGATAAAAAATTTAACCCTACCACCAGCTGGACCAAATAAGACTCTAGACATGGGGAGATCCGGGATCAATCTTACCGGGAAGGTTCCAAGATACAGATTCCTTAAACATTCCTCAATGCTCAATGGCGTTGGCATCTCCGTCACAAGTTGCAAAAAGAGAGACATTGGCCCCAAACCTTTTTGCCAGGCTATAACCCAGTAGGAATTACGAACAAAAGTACAAAGCAACGGCAATAGGTATTGGGCCATCTCTGAACCTTGTTCCCGTGATGAGGCTAACCTTCTATCCCTTGTGGTTTTGTTCCCTGGCGTCACAGCTGCCACTTCGTGACTGATCGAGTTTCCTGAGTCTTCTCTTGAGATCCGTGAACTTCTTGAGTGTTCCGGTGTGACCTCCGGCAGCGAGGTCAGACTCAGCCTCCGTTGCTTGCCGGCCCCTCTCCCTCTCGATCAGCCTGGAGTACTCTCCAACTCTTTCTCCTTGTCCTCTTCCCCACCTCCTCCCATCAAATTTCCTTGCCCCGAGGGCGATGGTTTGATCGCATCCCTCCCTGCCGCCGATGACCCTGCTGCTCCGGGTATAGAGGTTGTCGGAAACCCTTGCTGCTGGTTCCCTGAGACTCCTGGCTGACCTCCCAAACCACCCAACCCCATGCCGCCTTGTCCACCCTGACTCCCCATCATCATCCCAGGCCATAGACTAGGGTTGTATCCACTAGCCATTAGCCAGTCCGCCGGGAACGCTCCCCCCTGCCACCAATTACCCTGCAGTCCCATGCCTTGCATCGGAGGCATCCCATACAGCAGGTTACTCGGCTTTGCTCCGGTTGGTGCTTGACTCTGATTCCCCAACAAGCTGCCCATCGCCGGGTTTCCCATCATTGGGACGGCCATTTGGCCCATCAGCGGTGCATTACCTCCCCGTGGTGAAAAGATTGGATTCATCCGGGTTGCTCTATCGTGACTGGCCGCTCCTGATGGTACCGTAGTTCCTTGTCTTGGCCGCATCGCACCCTGATATCCCCTTGAGTTTTGACCTCCACCTTGTCCGCTGACCGCTTGTCCTTGTTGAAGGTTCTGCATCGGATTGTTCGACATCGCTCCCACTATCCCTTGATTTCTTTGGCCACCTCCCTGTCTGCATTCATTCTCCGTATGAAAGAATTGCCTGCACTTCCCGCATTTCGGCGTTCCGGATATTGCAAGCCGAACCTCCAGGGTATCTCCTTTCGCAGTCTCAATCCGACTAGTGACGGCCTATTTGGATCTGCGTCCGCCGGATGTGCTAGTACAATCTTACCAATCGCCTTGTCAATTTGTGCATAAATAAACGGCATGTCGTCAAGCGGAATCTGCAACGCAATCACCCAAAAGGTGCTCTCATCCGCCTGCCTTCTCAGGTCCCTGAACTCAGCCCGCGTCATCCATGGTTTAAAAAGAATCCTGTAGGATTCTTGACCGAGTGTTATCTCCACTTGTCCCTCTGAGATCATAAACTCCGCCACTTCCCTTGCCTTCGCCACATACGAATCTACCCCTGGACCCTCTATCTTCACCCTCCCTCGTCTAGAGTTTTCCGTCAGATTCTCGTTTCCAATAATCCATCCGTCCTCGAAAGCCCTGACTAGATCGTCCTTGACGTTCTTCGGAAGGAATCTCGCCGCATCCTTATAAATAACCGTGACCGTTCTTTCTTTTAGCCACTTAACTTTAATATCGTCCACAGAGGTATTTAGCTTAAACCGCACCTCTCTGCCTTCCACCACCATCTCCCCTGGATCTAAGTCTGTGGGGTAAATCCCATCGTCAAAACACATTGCCAGGAGCTCCCGTATTCGGTCCTCGTCTTCCCAATAATCCCGTTCCATTTGTGGCGCCGCTGGTGGCGATCTTCCTGATCCTTCCACGCCTGGTGTCTCCATTGCACTCTCCCCCCTCTCTATCTTTCCTCCCGTACTTCTATCCCTGCCTCACTCTTCTCCTTCATTCACGAGGTCCTCCTCCAGACCTTCTCCTTCCTTCACAGTTTGCAGTTTGCATGCACCGACTCTAGCCGAGCGGATAACTTGGCACTACGTCTCAATCTTCTTGCGAGATGGCTCAGGGGGCATCTACCTCCACCTGTCAGCTACACCTATGGCTAGCACAGCGCCATAGTCGCCCTACAGTGAAGGCGCGTGGTGAGCAGACTCCCGGGTGATATCACTCTGGTAGCACCCTGGATGGCAGCTCGGGTTCTGCCGAACCCGGTAACACTTGACAGAGCGCTTAGCGCCGGTCCAAGCAAGGTCGCGCCCCCCGCCGGCTCCCGCTCACCCTGGATGGGAGTTTTAGTAGTTTTATAATCTGTATGTTTCATATGTAAATTAATATTTAATGGACACTAATTGGCATAGGTTAGTTGGTACACCCACGAACTGTTAAAATGCACGCTCATGTTCGTCACAGTTCGAACCCAGATTCCAAATACAATCAGATGACCAGAATACAATCATTCTGAATTACCTGGGGAAGGTCAGTTCAATGATGATATCTCAAGGCCGTTGCCCTTTTGAAAAGAAAAAAAAAAAATATTAGGTTGTTTTTCCGGGCGCCCGGGCACCCAACTTGTGCCCGGATACACGCTGGGGTGCCCGGCCGGGCATGACCCCCGGGCAGGGTTCCAGGCAGCCCCAGCGCAAAAAAAAAAAAAAAAAAAAAAAAAATTCAAACCGAGTCCGAGAAAAAAAAAAAAAAAAATCACACTAAAGGTCCACTGTCCTCCACATGTTAGTACGAAATGGATCCCTGATCTAGGCTGTTTTCCCGGGTGCCCGGGCACCCAACTTCTGCCCGGGTACACGC